AAGATCGATACAAGTTCAGCAGAAAGTTGGAACATTTGCAAATCATTCAACCACAGTGGAAGAAAAGTGAAGATATCGAAGATGTTAAGGTTGAGTTCGCTTACACTCATCAGGAAATTGGAAATTGAAATCATTAGTAATCTATGAACTCAATTGTTTTGCATAGACTGAGTTCAACCTACAATTTCAGCAATTCTGTGCCAAGGTCGGCTATCCATGCCTCATTCGACCGTCCTATGTACTATCTGGTGCGGCGATGAACGTTGCGCATACTGAGGAGGATTTGGCGATGTTCTTGAAACAGGCTGCTATTGTTGCCAAAGAGCACCCTGTGGTGGTGTCGAAATTTATCAGGTATATCATGTGCTCGTCATATTTTTCCGTGGATTTGTTTTGTTCCTTTAGTTGGGTAATTAGGATGTTTCCCATTTTTGACTCAATTTGCTCTGACTGTCTACTTTTTTCCGTCTTCGTCTTACAAAACAGATTACACTGAGCAGTTTCTGCACTGTCGGCTTGTCGTCTCTTTACTTTGCTGCCACTTTATCACCTGGACGACTGATATTGTCAGGGGACGATTGATATTGTCAGGTGAAGAGGGATCAGCCAGCTTTCGAATTCCTGGTATACCCCGAACCCTTACAAGCGTTGGAAGTCGTATTCGCGTATTCGGGCAGGCTACTATGGCCAATCACTGCTCAGGCGATCTTCATGCGCCAACAGCTGTCTTGTTTCAAACAGCTACCGAACCGGCATACTGGTGCGCCTCTACTTCTCCGACTAGAATTCCAATGCGGTGCATCGGAAGATTTTCGATTAAACAGAACGCTGTGTTCACATTATTCTAATTCATTATCGCACTCTGAATTGGCTATGGCTCTTCGGCTACAATCGGCCTTTCAGTGAAGCAAAGGAGATAGACGTTGATGCAGTCGCTATGGAAGGTGAATTGCTTGTAATGGCTGTTTGCGAACATGTGGAGAATGCCGGAATTCATTCGGGTGATGCAACGCTGGTCACCCCTCCACAAGGATCTCAACCAGGTACGGAAAATTGCTATCATAAACACTGCATTACAAATGATCGTCTATTCAGGTTACCTTGGAACGTATCCAAGACATTACAGTTCGAATCGCTTCTGCTTTCAATGCAAATGGGCCTTTCAATATGCAGCTCATTGCCAAGGTATTTATAGTTTCAATGATTACTTAGACGATTTTCCTTACGGGTTTCAAGAAATCCAAGTCATAAATATAGAATTTTTACTGTAAATTGACGATCCTTAAGAGTGTTTCGGAGATGTTCTTGCGTAAGCAGGGATGAGTTACACGAAACTTTGTGCAGCCACTAGATTTGTTTTTTTAATGTCTTAATCGATTTTATTTCAAGTGATTAGATGTAATTGTAATCTTAGTTATATGTATTATCCATTACTAGGATAATGAACTGAAAGTGATTGAATGCAATCTGCGAGTATCGCGTTCGTTCCCCTTTGTCTCGAAAACGCTCGACTTTGACTTTGTCGCACTGGCCACGCGAGCAATGATGGCAGCAGGACAATCCCGCAATTGGTAGCTCTCTGAAGAAGCACGCCATGCTTCGTGGTAAGGGACGCGTCGGTGTAAAGGTTTGTAATTATGACCGATTTATGATCGGTGAAATAAACCGCACATTTTTTATTCAGGTGCCACAATTCTCATTTTCGCGACTGACAGGCGCAGACGTAATGCTTGGTGTGGAAATGGCGTCCACAGGAGAGGTATTAGCTTACTGCTTTGAGTGCGAAATTCAAAATCTTTGGCTACCTCAGAATTTCCGCGCGGTGGTTATTTCATTATTTAAGGTCGCATGTTTCGGGCGACATCGTCAAGAAGCGTACTTGAAAGCACTTCTTTCAACTGGGATTCATAGTTCCGAAGAAGAACATTTTCTTGTCGATCGGAGGCTATCATGTTAGCTAATTACCTACCATTTTCCGTTTTTGACGGTATTCTAGAATTCCACTTTCTTTTTTAGGCAAAATCGGAGATGTTGCGCAGTGTGCAGTTGTTGCAGAATATGAACTTTGATCTTTTTGGCTCGAAAGGCACAGCGGACTATTTCCAGTCGAACAACATCCACATGAGAGCTGTCGATTGGCCCTTTGAAGAGGGATATGCAGAATGAGAAAACAGCTGGAGGAACAAGGTGTAGTTATCTTGACGAAAAAAGGAATACCAACCCCTTTTTTGAAAAAAAATCATCGATTTCGTACATATTGGATTAATAATCAAACTTCAAATGCACGCGTCATTGGGGCCTTGTAAGCACTCGAATTTCCAGAAAGATTGCAGGCAGCTACCCTTTAGTGCAGACTTTTGAGCAGTACTGAATGTGTTTTTTGTTACAGATCAGTAGCAGAGTTCTTTGAGAACAAGGAATTCCATTTGGTTATCAATCTTCCGATTCGGGGATCCGGGGCCTATCGGGTATCAGCATACAGGTTTGTGACGTCATCATGGTGTTTACCAGAGATATATTTTTAGAAAAGTTGACTGAGAAGGTAAGATTTTTCACTGCTTGGTAATTTGTTTCAGAACGCATGGATACAAAACTAGAAGAATGGCTGTGGATAATGGAATTCCACTAATTACTGACATCAAATGCGCCAAGTTGTTCATTGAGGTGCCGTTTTTTCTAGAACTATGATTTTCGTAGTGAATTGCTATGATTGCCACTTCAGGCTTTACATACGGTTGGCCGCCGTCCACCAGTAAACTCACAAATTGACTGTGTGGCAAGTCGCAACCTGAAGCGTCTTCCAGGATTGATAGATATTCATGTGCACGTTAGAGAACCTGGTGCTACTCATAAGGTATGAAAAAGCTTGCGCATGTTTAACTTCTTAAAGTCACCTTTAGACCTGGCTAATGAATTGCCCTTTATTACCATTGAATGGGTGATTTCCAGGAAGATTGGTACACCTGCACTCGTGCGGCTCTTGCTGGTGGTATTACGCAAATACTGGCAATGCCAAACACGAATCCTCCACTCATCGATAAGGACAGTTTCCAGGTCGTTGAAAGGGTATGTATTTATTGTTAGCTCTTATTAGCCCTTACTTACTATTATATCATCGCTGTAACGATTTTGATTTCCAACAAATAATCGCTTCTTTCTGGAAAACCGCAAAATTCTATTGATATCACAGAGGGGCTCTCATATCTCACATGAGCGGACTGCTACGTAGTGACTCCTCTATGTTTGACTGTTTGACTCGTCGAAGGATTTTTTCACAACATTCCATTTCCGCGACAATCTGTATATGAATGGAACAATTATGTTTTTATTCTAGATCCTTTCCGATCTTTTGATCTTTTTTGAAAAGATTAAACCACAAATGAGAGATGACAAAGCTAGTGTTCTCTTTTGGATATTTGTGTATTTTCCAGCTGGCAGCACACAATGCTGTTGTTGACTATGGGCTCTATATTGGTGCAACGTCTGAGAACGCAAGAATCGCGTCTGAAATTGCTCCTGCGGTCGTCGGATTGAAGATGTATTTGAATCAGACATTTTCTACCCTGAAAATAGATTCAGTGGCCGATTGGGTGAAGGTGAGTTTGATGCGTGTGGTCTGAGAGAATAAATTGTGCGTCTGACAGTTTGATATTTTCAGCATTTCGAGTCATTCCCGACCAAGTGTCTGTCACGCCGAGAAACAAACCGTGGCAGCGGTTCTTTGCGTGGCACAGATGACTGGACGAGCTGGTTAGTGGCTAAAAATCAATCACTTCTCGGACAGTTTGTTTAGTAGTTTTGGTCCTCTTCTAATTTCTTGCTGTTGGAAGAGTTTTAAAGTGATTTGAAAGTATGCTCCTCTTTCAGTACATATCTGTCATGTTTCGAATGCCGAAGAAATCCAGTTGGTGCGCGATGCCAAGCGAAAGGTGCGTGATCGGTTTCTTCTCACGTAAATTACAAAAGATTTTTAGCTGAAAGTGTTTAAGTTTTTTTTTACCATTTCTAGGGTTGGCCTGTGACATGCGAAGTCTGTCCACATCATCTTCTCCTGTCAGATGAGGATTTGCCACCTGGTGTGAAGGAGGTAAGTTTAGTTGAGCCATTGTTCAAGAGAACCAATGTAAGGCTTGGCGATGTGTTGTTTTTCGTAATTTCAATAGATACTCAAACACATTTTTCAGGTCCGCCCACGTCTGGCGACAGTAGAGGATAGGAATGCTCTTTGGGAGAATCTCGAGTACATTGATTGTTTTGCTACAGATCACGGTAAGTTGAGGCGAATCATCGGGGAAGCTAATGATCTATTCAACCTATCAGATTTTATGGTATCGCCTTTGGTTGGTCTTTGGAAATTTGAAATTCTGATCAAATCGTAGGAATTCACCAGTTTCTGAGTGATGTACCACCATATCTACGCCTTTACTTCTTCTGGGCCTATATCCTATCCTTCCCTCAGGCTAGGGGAACAAAAACTCCCTTTGAACTTTTTTTTGCCTTTCCAACAAAAATCGCCCTGAGAAACTGCATATTTGTAATGTATATATGTGTGTAAAGCAAACAAGTGCGGAAAGTAAGGGAAGTGGTCTTTGAAAACAAATAAATTCAAAGGACTCTTTCGTTCCCTTAGCCTGGGGAAGGATAGGATACGGCCACTGCTGTCTTGCTTCCCCCTCTCCTCAAGTAGAGTCCACAGGCGTCGCAGGAGGTAGCGTTAGAGGCAGGGAAACGCACTACTAGTCTGCAATAAAAAAGTTCGCATAGGGCATGCCTGGAAACGCGAAATTCGATTAAATTCACAGAATCTCAGAATGATGGACTAGTGCAGTGCGCTATTATGCTATGGTTGGAAGAAGTGCTTTGCAGCGAAAACTGCCACTTTTTCTATAACTTAGGCGATAGCGAGAGCTGGTACTGAGTTGTCGCGAAGAAGCGAAATTTTAAGTGTGAATGGGTGTAGCTTACACTTGGACGCTCTTCACCACACACTATACCTTTTCCGACTTGTAAGCTTTCTAACCTCGTTTTCTTTTTATAACAAAACAAACTCTCTGGATCATTGCGTCTAATACTAAATTTTACAGACTTTACAGCAGTATAATTTTTGTACTTGTACTGTTTAGCTCCTCATACATGGGTTGAAAAGGATGACCCGGAACAGGCTCCACCCGGCTTCCCCGGTGTGGAATATATGGTGCCACTGTTGTTGACGGCGGTCTCACAAGGAAAATTAACGATAAGGTAATATATGTGACATGATCTTCGAGTCATCAAGTGGGAAAACTCTCTTGTCCATTTTTTGCAAAATTGAAAATAGACTCAAGTAACTGGGTTGAGCCAGAGCCTAGAAATTCATTGAGATTCGATTCATTTCTGTAAATAGTGATTTATTTACCTTGTACGATGCGTATTTTGCGATAAGATAGGAACAAATCACCGTAAAAATAAATTTCTAGTTATAAAAAAACTTTCGCTTGTTTACCGAAAGAGGCTATTACTTGAAGCTGTGATTGGTTACGGTGATATTTGAGGACCATTGGTAGCCTCCAAAAAGCACCGTAATCGGTAGAGAGTTGTATTTTCTGCGTGGCCTTGACGCTTCTTAGTTTTACAGGCAACTTGTTGACCGCCTATACTATAACCCGAAAAGAATATTTGGTTTGCCGGAACAGCCAGACACGTACATTGAGGTAAAGAGTTCATTTTACGGTGTGCATCCTTGTATATCTCGGAAATATTTGATTCCATATGATTTAACTACCAAAGTAGCCGATTGATTCAGGTTGATCTGAACGAGGAGTGGGTGATACCAGAAGGTGGTGGAGAAAGTAAGGCTGGGTGGACGCCGTATGCAGGGATCAAGGTTCGAGGACGCGTGCAGAAAGTCGTGATTCGAGGCGAAGAGGCTTTTGTTGATGGAGTGGTGAGTTGGAGGAATTATTTCGGAGGTGTTGTTTTTCTTATGCATTTCCGATTCTATTCAGATCCACGTTCGGCCTGGATTTGGCATGAATGTACGCTCCCTCTCGAAGGCTCAAGATGTGGTACTCGGTAGTTCTAGTAATGGTTGGTGTTCGTACTCAGAATCTCTCCCTAATAAATAGTTGTCATTTCATTCGTCTTCAGAGGTGATTAGCCTTGGATCGAGCATGTTACGTGAGCTGCAAGTGACGACTGATGAGGTGCAGGTGGAGGCCAAGCCTTCGATGGAGAAAGTCCCTTGCTGCCGGTTGCGCAGTTTACACCACGAGAGGTGACATTAGCCGGAAGCCATCTCCTTTCAGTGCATGACCTCGGCAAAGCAACAGTAAGTTTTGGTGTTTTAAAAGTCGTGCATTAATTTGGTGATTTACCGCTGTTTTGTTTTCATGCGTGCATTTTTTATGCATGATGCATTTCAGCTGAACAGCATTTTCGACGTAGCTGATCGATTCCGAGCTGATGTTGAGAGGAAACATCCTTTGACCCACATTCTTGAGGTAAGTTTTCGTTTTGGCTCGAGTCGCGCATTTTTTGTCCCTTTTCTCAAGCGATCTAGAAAAAAGCATGTAAGGATTCCATCATCAAGAAATTCCATAAAGTTGAGACTCGTTCGTTTGTAAAGAAAAGTGGCTGTTGAAAAGCAAATGTGTAAATTAAGACCTTTGGTTCCCACCCCGCGTGACCTACGCGACAAAACCACGTGCAGTCTGTAGCGGCAAAAGCTCGCCTGCGGTATCCTAACGATCACAATTTCGCCTCTTGCGATCGTAAGCGACAAAATCGCGCTGCAGTTTCATGACGATCGGTCGCTCGTAGAAACTTAGTGATGTTTTCTAAACATGAAGTAGGTAAGGTTTCCTGAAAGGGGAGACGGTCGTAATAATAAGGAGCAGGAGTTAAGTCAGAAATTTGATCGAATGAATCCGGCACCTTTTCAAATCGTAGAGAAAGATGCTTATTTCAAGGGTTATATTCTGGCAACGATGTTTTACGAAGTGTCCACACGAACGGCAAGCTCGTTTGCGGCGGCAATGCAACGCCTTGGCGGAGGAGTCGTTCATATGGATAGTTTCACCTCTTCTGTACAAAAGGGTGAAACTCTTGAAGGTAAGGTTCCTCTACCAGCCTAATAAAGAGCTTAGGACCTTTTGGGCAAATCGCCATTTAGATTCTGTGACAATTATGTCGAACTATGCGGATATCGTTGTGTTGCGACATAAGGAAACAGGTGCAGCAGCTCGAGCTGCAGCCGTATCCTCTCGTCCAGTAATCAACGCAGGCGATGGAGCTGGAGAGCATCCATCACAGGTGAGAGCTTGCTTCGTTCTTGGATTCAATGACTCTTCCACGGAGGTGGAGGGAGCGAGAAGCAGGGAATAGAGGCGCCTTTCGGATACCATCCCGTTTTGGCTGGCCTAGTTTCGTAGTTCTAGAGGTGCTTATAGATGTTGGGTTCATCAGAGAAGACGAAGTCCCGGATTCAAGTGTCTCAAGTCATTGTGTAGACTAAATGCGCCAAATGTGCCACGAGTTTGAGAAAAGTTGCACGTTCTTCGAAGTTTCCGTCAGGGAACCCTTGGGCCTCCTTCCTTTTGTTTTTGTAAATGGCCATCTAGATCTAAATATTTTTTAGGCGCTGTTGGACGTGTACACAATTCGACAAGAGATTGGTACTGTTAATGGGTTGACAATAGCGATGATCGGTGATTTGAAACATGGACGTACGGTGCATTCGCTGGCGAAGTTGCTGTGCGTGTTCAAGGTGCTGTTATAAAATTGTATCCTCGTCTTGGTTGAGCGAACTCGTCTCCATTTTTCACATTATTTCGTTCCTTTCTTCTATTCCTCCTCTTCATTGACATAGTTCGAATCTTATTATTAGCGCTTCAAATCTCCATCTTCTTTAGCTGTGGCTGAATGTGGTTGATGATCTTACAGCTTTTATTTCTAGGATGTCACAATTCATTATGTTACCCCTACACCGGCACTCGGGATGCCAGATTACGTAGTCGATTATGTGAAGAGACAAGGTGGAGTTGTTCAGGTAAATGATATTTCAATGGCTCGTTTCCGAAGTTTCACAGTCTCATCTGATGCTGTAGGCTGAATAGGAATTTTGTTTTAGAAGAATTTCACTTCGTTGGCTGAAGGTATCCAGAATGTTGATGTGATCTACGTCACTAGGATCCAAAAAGAACGTTTCCCTAGTGAGGTTAGTGACGAATTTGTTAGCTTAAAGGTAACATGTTTAATGTTGGCTCCTTGTCTGCCGGAGTTCTTTGGGAAAAAACTTCCCGCTAATACGACTTGTTGGAGGCAGGGTCAGCCATGGTGGGGTACCCAGTAGCGGAAGCTCTACAATTTTTTGTATATCTGTCTGTGTGTCTAAAATGTCCGAAAAACTCAAAAATACGCTGCTGACTTGCACGGGCGTAGGTTTCGGCTAGTCCATTCAAGAAACCGTAACCTTAAAAAAAACAGAAGTTCTGTGTAGTTAGTGAAATTTGAGTTTCTCTATGCGCTTGTTATTTGTTTTATCTGATCGGATCTCAGCTCGGTAAAGGAAGCTGCAGGCAGTTTTTTCATTCTGTTCCTTTGATTCATAATTTTATGATGGTATGGTATGACGAAGATATCAGCTCATTCTGTATTTGCCCAGCGTTTTTCACTAAGAATCGCTGACGTCAACACGAGCGGCAGCCGTGTGCATCACAGGCGCGGGGAAAGTATTGGGTTGTCTCATAATTCCTGTCTCAATTTCGACACTTTTGTTTATTCAAGTTTTATCTCTTCTAGGAAACAACTGATCAATAGCATAACCACCATCATGGTCACTGATATGCGTGCATTTGCTAGTGAGCGTTTGGAAGCTTCCAGCCCAGAATGAAGGAAGCTGGGGGTTGAAGAATTTGGAGAAGTCGTTTTTGGGGTGGTCGCAATCTTAACTTTCTTCTCTGGCAGATGCTGGTTCAAGGCGCAGGGGAGGCGATAGTCCGATAGAGCAATGCCAACGCTTTATGGTGGATGAGGTATCGTGGCCCTGGCTATCTCCTCAGAACGTGGTGAGTTGGCATTGCAATGTGAGGTCGGGCGTTCATTTGGAGAAAGGAGAATCTGAGACGTTTCTGACGATTCCCTCGCAATACCGAAGCCAGCCTAAGAGGTGATTTCCGCGCTGACTTTAGCAATGATTGTCTTCATACATTGAAGTGGATCCAAAACCTGGCCCCACCTAGCGAATCCAATAAAACGAGAGCGATATTCTCAGAAAACGGAGTTCGGGCTTTGGTTGAGCTGGTGCTTCCTGGCTGCGAGGCAGCCATCAGACGTGCCGCATGTTGTTGTCGCAGTGGACTCATGACTCATTTCCACTGGTGACCGATTAGGGAAGGCTCTGCTTTTGCCGTCCCAGAATAGAAATTAACGATTGCGATCACTCCAAAAATACGACCTCTCCAAACTTGCGCCAACAGAGTGGTCGGGCCCGTGCGTCTCTCGGCTCATAGTCGTCTGGCCGGCATACAGGTTGTCATTATACGAACTTCATTCCGCAGCAGTCTTTTCATACTGATGGCGTGTGTGGGCAGAGTCAACCCTGCGTTGCGCAGTTTTCAACGGCCACGTTGCGCAGTTTCGCCCGATTAGACACGTTCTCTCGCGCGAACATTCACACTCGCATGCTCGAGCCGTCTGTGTCTCCGCCCATACAGCGTGCGTTGAGGATCTCTCAACGTGCCGTTGCGAACTGCGCAACGCAGGGTTGACTCTGGTGATGCATCGGCTGCACCTAGTGTAGGTATCTGCTACAATACCCTGGTAGCAACGTGCGGAGGCACTCCCAATTTAGGTCTAGGGGCGCCTTATCAAAAATGACCACAGGCCCAGTATGAGGTTGAACTTCACAGCTCGTTTCGTTTTTGCCGTTGGCGATTGGACCGCTAGTACCCCATCAGTACCGCCAGTACCCCATCAGTAGCAGAGACTGGGTGAAAAACACAGCACCGGTCTTCTGTCTCTGTTGCCCGTCACTTTTGCTACAGAGTTTCGTTTGAGGATCGTAAAGCATAATCATTCATTTTCAGTCACTGACCTATTTTTATTCCTAGTTGATTAACCCGTTACGGGCTTGCGTTTCTTCCGAAACCATGCTGTTAAGGCTCTTGAAGCATACTTCAACATACTAACGTATTTCGCAATGAAACGGTCTTAGACGGAAGAAATTTGAAATTGAATAGAAATGAGACAGGAATTATGAGACAACCC